TCTGACTCAGATGGTTGTTCACAGATTATGATGTCAGTATTGAGAATAGCACTAGTTACATTACATTGTTTAATAACAACTCGGAAATAACGCAATAGATTTAGATGGCAAGTAATGTTCATCTTTTCTTTTTGTATGCCTGCTGTCGAACTGGCGTTTGTTATTAAAACGGAAATTTTGGATAGATCAATGCTCCCGTTCTCGTGCGCCGTGACTGCAACATATTCGATGTGGTACACCATTGCATCGAAAGAAGTATTGTTTGAACCATTTTCTGATATCCAGTTGAGTAATACCCATTCAAAACTCAATTTATCGTTTGCATGATATGACAGTGCTTGAATGTTTTGTTAAGCTGATAAATCTTCGATGTTTATAAATCTGCATCCTCTGCTCACATGTGTGAACTTCATTTTAAAATCAACGCGAGCGCTTGATCAAGTATGGTGTACCATTGCTTGATCATGCGATTCTATTTATCTCTCTCTTTCTATTTTTCTATCGTTTCTCGCGAAGGAAATACACGTTTATCAGAATTCCCTGTTCTCCATTACATGCCAAGCATTCGAAAGAAAAATCAAAGTAAAAATGTTATGTGACTGCATTGAGAAAAAGTAAACACAAGATAAAGGAAAATACCACGCACGTAGGATGCGTAGGGTTTTCCTTAATAGAGAAGCACTAAAGTGCAGAAGAATATTGTCATAAGCAAAAGGTTTGGTGCTGCGTTTACGAATTGCATCCTACCATCTATCTTTGAATTGAATTGAATGTATTTTGTCTAACGATGTTAAATGGTCAGAAAACAGCAAAAAAGAAAATTTCGCTTACATAAGTGGTACTGTTACCGATAGTGAGAGCGAAAATATGAATCACAATACAGAGAGAGAAAAAGAGAAAGAACAACAATAGTCCCTATGTGTCACAAGAATAGCAAGAAGAGCAAGAGCATACTAAAACTAATTTACATGATTTTTGAGAAGCATTTGAAATACATTTAAATTGGCCGTGTGTGCTGTTGAGGGAGGAAGACCATTTCACTGCTTAGAGGTGAGGGTATGAAAGAAGAAGATGAAGCTTTTGTGAAAAAATGTGTAGTAATAACAAGGGGGGAAAACCTCACTTTAAGTGCCCTAAGTGTGTGCACCTTCGAGTTAAGTGTCACTTTAAGTGTTTAAGTTCTGAAGTATCACTTAAGTGATTAAGTGTCATTTCAAATTCCGTATCTTCCTCAAGAATCACGAAGTCAGCCCTATATGTCCCGAAATATGAAATGTGTGTACTGCGGCTGCTCCGCATCATACGAGTCTGCTAAGTTTTCACTGAAGTCTCAGTGTGTGAGGATGAATGAAAGTTATGTTCGCTGAACGCGGGAAGATCTTCTTTTGTTGTGTAATTATTTCTTTCAATATAGATTAGACGCTTTAGTGACAAGACAACAGTTATTTTTCTCTTCTTTTTACTATTGTTATTTTACTATGTATAGACGGGGATGAATTTTTCACAGTCTTTCTCTTTCTCTTTCTATATTACTGATTATTCGTTCGGTTATGGATACTACTCACTCATAGTAACGTCTCTATCTTATTCTTTCGTCTGTCTTCTGTCTTTTCTTTTTATACATAATTCTGATAATTTTACTTGACAAGAATAAAATAGCTGAAACAAACTCGAATGTTTAAAGTTATACAAGGCAATTATCAAGGAAGACTATTGGTTAGGCATTAGCTCCCGGCCTAATAGCCCTAACACATGCATGTGCATTAAAGTGTGCACGAGAAAAAATGTTTCATACACCTTATTAGAGGTCTCCCATTATGAGGCTCTAACTTGACCCTTCATCTTTAATTTATTACGAAAACCAAAAGCGCTGAAATAATGATAACACTACGTGATGAAGTGATACAATAAAATGGTGCGATGAAGAAAGACTGTATGATCAAGAAAAAGATAAGAGGATGACTATCGCATCTTATATGTGAAATGCCTAGCCTGTAACACACCTCAGACTTCTTTTTATAAAGCACCATTCAATAATATGTAACGTTTGGGAAAAAGCGAAATCTGTTACTTTTCCTCACGCACCCTTTTAGAAGGTCTTTTCTCCCTTGAGTAATAACCTGTCTGTCATGCCCCAAACGCTTGGTGTGTGTAATTATACATGACACATATCTTCCGGCTTCGTAACAGCAAAAATCAAAAAGTAGGAGGGATTTTCAAGTCCGTTATGGTAGGATTTATAACAAAAAGTAGGTAAAGTAGCTTGTAGCTTTTAAAAGAAGCTTCGCCGCAACACCAACCATGCTGTCAGGGGTAAAATTTTCTTTTCTTTGTATTTATGTCTCATTCGAAAGAGCAAACAAAATAACCACTAAGCCTGCAATAATTCTTCCTGAAAGCGCTTTTTCAAAAAACTAGAGGTCAAATACTCTGTTGAGGGTCATTCTTGTTACCAGAAAACGTGAATTTTAACAAATTCTCGTATTTTCTGAAAAACTATCAAACTCCTATGATTCGTTCATGGCTCATTTGAAAGTGTATTTAGACGTAATAATATGTTTAACTATCTAGGACTAAATAATAGAAAACTACGATATTCCATATTTGGAAATTTGCATTTTTCGCAGTACTTTTGTTAGGCTGGAAAATGAGTATTATATATGGGAAAAGACATTTTTCTCCTACGTTTCGCAAATGAACCTTTTTAGTTTTTAGTTTAAAAACTGAGTCAATGCTAGCTACTCATGTCAAAACTTGATATAAATTCTATTCTCCTAACCGTTTAAAATGGATTTTTTTAAAAACAAAGTTAGACAAGCTCGTGAAAGGTACCCCGAGTGGATTTATATATGAGTTTTAGACGGTTAGGAGGAGAGACTTTATATCAAGTTTTGACATGAGTAGCTCACATTGAGTCATGTCCAGTTTTTAAACACAAAACTAAAAAGGTCATTTGTGAAAAGTAGGAGAAAAATGTCTTTTTGCTTGTGAGCTTACTAAAAAGCATCTTTCATTATTGACCAAATTTTATGAACCCGTGAAGCAATATTTTACCCATAAAGAAACAAAAAATAAATGATTATGTCGTCCATACCTATTCTCAATATTTCACAGGATTGTTTGTTTTTATTTCGCTCCTTTCTGGGTATGCATGAGCAAGCGTAAAGCTTCTCTGCACAAATACGAACACCGTTAAACTGTTTGTTTACACACCTGATGATGATTGAATCGTAAATCTATAGAAATGCTAAGTCTAAATGTTGCAAGCCGTGCCTCTTGTCCCGTGGGTACGCGCGAAAAAGATTTCCACATGTAGTCGTGTTCTGAAACAGCCAGATTTCTTTACGCAGTCAAAAATATCAAGTTTTGTTGAGGAAAGCCCAGAAAATTCTTTTTCTTTGACAATTATCAAAAGGCATGGAATCTTCATTTTTGCCAAACACTACTTGCGAAAACCCTCTGCGTCATATTATTGAAAAAAGATAAATCAAGATACAATAACTTAGTGAGCGGTTGAACAAATGACCACTGAGCGCCAACTTGTCCGATTATTTATCATATTTACAAAGTAATAGAACAGATTTGCAAAGTGGATATATAAAAACGGTTAATCATTGTCTGTTTTCACTTTTTTCGCCATTTCAATTTCTTCATTTAGTTGCAAGAGTTTGACTAAATCTTCTGATGTCTCCGCATGATTTCTCAAATAGTGTACGATGTAGTAATCGAATGTTTTTCCTGTTTTTACTGCTTCTTCAAGTAGTTCCAAATACTGTTTTTCTTTTGTACACGTATAGAGAACGGCAAGACAAGCTTCACGAGTTCGCTCATGTTTACATCCGTTCAATAACGCATTTTTTGCTTCTTCGTCATCTTGAAAGAGAAATTAATACCAATACTTACTCTCATAGCCAAGAAAAAGACTTACTGATAAAAGTCGCTAGAGCAATGCAAGACTCTACGACTAATCGTTCTGTTGAAACAAACGCAAAAATGTCATCTGAATCGCTATCGTCATTTCCTTCAGAATGTTGTAAATTCATTGTCTGCGCTAAGAGTGGAATTGCTCTAGTATCACCCAGT